AATTTTGAAATTAAGTAATATGCTAAATTGATATCTAAATGTTGATACTTACAACTTTATCTCTATAAGCAGAAGATTCGAGTAACATTTCAAAATTGTTTATAGTTTCTTCGTTAGATATAGGGGGGTTTTCATTGTTTAATACAGATACAGCAGTTAAATTAGAGTTTTTTGTCACACCCAGTTCTGAGCAGATATTGTTAACATTTTCGTGCATTTTCTTAACTGATTCTGATACATATACCAAATGTTTAATATCATATTTTAAATTGGTAAATTATGTTCTAACATAATCATTGAGTCCTTGAAAAAATTAAAATTAAGTACATCAATAAATGCAGTCAACTATATAACACATTGAATTATAATTAAATCATTACAATATTTAAATTCAAGTTAATAACATTATTTATTAATTATTATAGTTGTAAAAAAAAAATATACATCATTATAACATAATAGATAAATAACTCACTATTAAAATCATCCACCTTTACTACATCTGCAGGTTCAATAAGACTTTGCTTAAAACTTTCAGTAACCAATCGTACAATTTTACTGATATTACCTTCAGAGAAAAATGAACTTTAAGTTAATGTATAAGTTTTTAATTAACATTATAGAATATATTATAAATTCATACATTTTGTCTTACACAATGGGAATAGTAGTAATAGCCAATGGTGGGCATTAACTTGTTAAAAAGTTAAAGTTAAGTTAAAAAGTTAATTTTTTTTTAACTTTTTAACTTAACTAGTTAGTTTTTTTTGTTTTTAACTTATTAACTTATTCAGTTAAATTTTGTATTGTTTAAACTTAACTTTTTAAAGTTAATTATCATTATTGTACAGTTAAGTTAATTAAATTAAATTTTTATCATGTGGAACCAAGAGACAAAACTTATTCTTTCTATTTTGCCATTTTGGTAATTTATTTTTCTAACAATATAATATCATCAATTCATAATAATCAAATTATATTATAATCTATAGGTACTATAGTAAAGACTAAAGAGTAATAATTAGTATACTATCCTTGTATCGACTGACTATTTTCACGAATTCTATTATTTAATGATTTAATATTATTTAATGGTATTGAATAATCCGATTTTTGTTTTATCTAACTCTCCAATTCCTAAAAACAGGTTTAAAACTAAATATCATAGTCTTTAAATGGATATCATTATATCAATAATATATGTATACTGGTTACTGGTAAATACGACAATTCCAATAGACAAAACAAAAAGTCGTCCGAAATATTTATAAATTATAATTTATATTGCCGTATTCGTTATAAATACAAATAAACATGATAATGTTATTAGAAAATAACATTATCGAAATAAATATGGAAACAATTTTTGGTAGGTATTATACTATTATCATTATTCATTGATTTTATTTTAATAATAGACTATTATAATGGTACTAAATGACAAATATTTAAAAACAGCCTATACCTATTAATATTATGACTTAAAAAAAAAATTAACTTTTTTTTAACTGAGTTAAGTTAATTTTATTTTCCATCTTAACTTTTAACTTAACTAGTTAAATTTTATTTTTTTGTTAACTTTTAACTTAACTGAAGGCAATTTAATTGAATTAACTTAACTTTCCACAGTTAATTATTTTCATTAACTTGCCCACCATTGGTAATAGCAATACGCACTATTATTATAAGCAATGTCCAATAATTCAATTTCAAAATCTATGAATAATTTTTTTTTTAAGAAGAGAACATAAAATTTTATTAATTACAATGATTGATAATTTTCGAGATTTTGATAAATGTTGTCAAAATTCGATCTTTAAATGCTTATAAAAAAAATTGCCCCTATGTATTTTTAATATTTTTCAACTGATATTGTAACAATATATCAGGAGCCTTGTATTACATTTTTACACTTTTTGGCCCAACAGATAAAACTTTATTGATATTTATAGAATAAAAAACTAAAAAAAATGGAAACTGAAAATGTCCGTAAACAGCTCAAAAGGAGTCTAAATATTTTCAAAATGTTATGTTGTATAGAAAATGAAAATTTAAACATTCATTAAAATGTTCATGTAACTACAGTTTTCGTTTTTGAATAACAATAAAATAACAAAACCACTACATGAGAAATCGAGTGAATATCCAATGTTGGAAAATTTAAGTAAAATCAGTTTTCGACAAGATCAATTTTGGTTTTGGGTGTAAGTTACTCTAAAAAAAATAACCGTAGATACATGATATTTTCACTGAATGTTTATATTTGCATTAATTTTTGTACACGATCAAAATATTTTGACTTGTTTTGAGCTGTTTACTGACATAATACATTTTCAATTTTTTTAGTTTTTTTCTATGATTGCCAATAAAATTTTATTTGTTGTGTAAAATTGCTTGAAAATTGAATACAAGGCTTTTAATATATATTATTATAATGAAATTTTAAAAATATTAAGTATACAGTTACAATGTTTCTTATGAGCATTTAAAGTTCAAATTTTGACAAATTACGTAAAAATAACGAAAATGTGCAAATTTTTTGAGTTAAAAATACATAAATACATTTGTTTTTAAATCTAACATTAGAAAATTCAATACGAGATTCCTCATAAGTATGTTTACCTTTATCAAAAAAAATATCTACCCGAAAGTCAAATTAAATTTTTACATAATTTGATATTCTCTCGATTAATCATGTACCTAGGCATGTAGCGATTTTCTTATGTTGTTGTAATTCAAACACGAATAACTGTTGATACTTGAATTTTACACCATATAACAAATTATCAATTCCCATACTTGATAAAATGTACAAAATATTTTGACCAGTTTTGAGCTGTTTACGGACATTTCATTTTTTTTTCTTTAATTGTCAATAAAATGTGATTTGTTAGGTCAAATTTCGTTAACATTAATATAAGGCTCCTGTTATATTTTTACTTTACCAGTTAATTTTAGTCGAAAAATATAGCATTCATCTTTTGTGAAAAAAAATATAATATAGACAGAACCACTCTTATTGAAATGTTTTTAAAAACAAATTGGGCTTATCAATTTCTTGATTATTCATTTTTAATTTGTTTTTTGATCCTTTAAGTTATCAGTATTTTTAAAGCGATATTGTTTTAGTTATTAATGTTTTGACACTGCGTGTTGAACTCAAAAACGAAAAAGCGTACCTACCTACATACTTAATACCGTAGATTTAGAAATAGTTTTAAATTAACGTGATCTTCTGATCGTAAGTTTTGTTTTTTTTATAAGTAGATATTGTTTTTTTTTATATTAAAATGAAAAATATTTATATATTATACTACTGTGTAAGAGTTTTTGTGGACACCCAGTATATTATTTAACGTTTCTACTTCATGAAATGCACACATTTTGTTGAACAGATTGATTTCGTATACGAGTAGTAACCAGTAGTAGCCTACCAGTAGTAACCTACCTACAGTTCCGATCAGACATCAAAATTATATTACAATAAATAAGTATTAATATGATCGACTATTTAATAATACATTCATTTTACAGTAAAATCTAAACAAATTTGTTACTTATATTATAGTCGTCGAAATTACCTCCCCCCACTAAATATAAATAATTGCGGTGTTATTACTTTTTTTCGTCTAGAATAGTCTAGATAATCTTATTAGTTACCTATTACGTTTAATTATAAAATTGATAATTATTGTAGTACCTACCTATATAACATATTATTAATAATTTAGTTAAAAAATCATTTAAGATATGTTAGGATTCATAAACAGGAATACGATTTATTTTAAAAATATTAACTCATTTATAATGTAATATGATTTAATTTCAGTATAATATTTGTCAGAGATTCAACTTGCTGTACTTTACGTTTTATTACCAAAGGGCATTAATACCTATCTGTTTATAAATAAATAAATATTTATATTTTATACAGCAATATCATATTATAATATAATATGTACCTTTTTATCAATATTATAATAATATATTAATAATCATCATTTAAATTGTACCTATATATTTTAGATTCTGAGTGGAACGATGAATGTATTGATTTTACAATGATGTGTTGTTTTTTTTTTAATTTTTAAATTTTTTTTTTTTTGTGTCTGTGTACACGATTAGTAGTCGAAATAATGCTTCGATTTTCAACTTCAGTAACTTGTTCGATGTGAAAGTGAATCTAGTTGGTACTTTTGGGAGGTCAAAATTTAAAATTCCCAATAGTTTTCAAAAGTGACAAAAGTAACAAAAGAAAAATTAAGGAAAAACGGGAATTTTTACTCAAAATCGATTTTTCACAAAATTGAATTTGATTTTTGATGTAACTTTAAAACAAATGACCGTAGACACTTGAAATTTTCACTGGTTGTTTATATTTGCATTTTCTATATATTTTAACATTTTCAAAATATTTTGATTTATTTTGAACTGTTTAGGGACATTTTCATTTTCCATTTTTTTTTAGTTTTTTTCTAAAGATATCAATAAAATTTTATTTGTTGGCTGAAAAAGCTTGAAAATTTAATAGAAGGCTCCTAGTATATTGTTTCAAAGGCAGATTAAAAATATTAAAATCCTTAGTCACAGATTTTTTTTCAAAGCATTTAAAGTTCATAAATTGACAAATAATGGAAAAATCACGAAAATTAGCAAATTATTTTGAGTTAAAAATTAGTAAAATTTTTTAAATTTCCCGCCATAATTGGATGCTAGTTTTGGAAACCATAACGAAAAATCTCCGCATGGCGCGTTAGTATCGAGGGACATTTGTTGCGGAACTGAGAATGCATCGACTGATATCAATATAGGCAAGGAAAATTCGACATTTTGGTTTTTGGTACATTTTCATAATTATTAATATTGTGATTATTATGATATTAATTATTGTTAGACGTAATTGGTAGGTTCGTGCGTAATACGCTTACACGACTCGTGACTTAAAATATATTCCTATAGTATTTACTTGTTGTTACAGAATTCATATTATACTTCATATTATGGATTCTGATTTGAGAGATTTAGATCTTTATGGGATGCTTGGAATCAAACAGTCGGCTACTGAAAAAGTGGTAAGTCAATTTCTAATCACTCGTGACGTATTACTATTCATATTTGCTATTTCAATCAGATGAAAACGGCATATCAGAAGAAAGCACTGCGATGGCATCCAGATAAAAATCCCGATAATCCCAATGCAGCTCAACTGTTCTTGCGGTTATCCAAAATATTAACTATTCTTACAGACACAGCAGCTCGAGTAAGATTTGTTGATTTAGCATTGTAAATTGTATTTATTTGTAAATGTTTTTTTCTTGTTTTTAGTTGGATTATGACAAGTCGGTAAATCTGCTGCAAAATTGCTCAAAAAAGGACGTGATTCGGGTAAAGCGAAATTAATAAATGATATTTTAAAAAGAACTAAACATGAAAGATCAGTACAACGAGATACACATAAAATCGATTTCAAAGTAGATATTTTTTTTTTTTTTTTTAATTTTTGTTTTTAAATTAATTGTTTTGTGTAGAAAGAAATGATGCTTTTAAGAAAAGAAAGTGACCTCAGGCACCGAGAAACTGAAAAAGAAAAAAACGGTTCATTAATATTAAAATTAAAGTGGAAGAAAAACGGTGTCTATAATAAAGCTAACTTAACATCATTGTTTTCTAAGGTAATTTATAAACATTATATTTTAAACATATGTCTAATACATTATACAATATTATAGTACGGTGAACTATCATTTGTTGTGGTTCTGAAAAATTCTGTGGCTTTTGTGATGTACAAATCTAAGACTACTGCCGTAAGTGATTTTAAATTAAATTAAGGTAACCTGCTAAACCTTTACAAGAAAATAGTAATTCAAACAATATAAATACAGAAGAACACTAGAAGAATTTGATTTCCATAGTTTATTATTAATATTTGTGGTAATTATGTCCATAATATGTAAATATGTATAAATAATTTTTTACTCCGCCTTAATTGACATTACCAAGTTATGAATGTATACCTGAAAAAAAACGCTAAAATATTATTGAAATGATTTCTGAAAAAAATATCGAACACAAGAGCAAATAAATGTGAAATTGTGAATGTACGACTATAGAAATGTAGGTAAATATGATTATTTATACATATTATTAGATTACTTATTATTTTATGATCCGTTCAATTTCTGTTCAATTATTTATATTATATTGAAATATAATTTTTAACTTGAAGCACGAGAAGTAATTTATATAAGATGCTACTGTAGGGTATGTTGATTGATATGTTACAATTTTTATAATTAATATTTTACTTAAATATTAAGCACTTATAATAGATTACTTATAGTTACGGTACCTATTGAATATTTGATGCTTTATAATCATTTAAAACCAAATTTATATCCAAAAACTGTAATGATTGATTATGAAAAACCTACTATTAATGCACTTAAACAGAATTTGATGAAACGGACATGATGAAATTTTTTTAGAGGTCGAATCGTCCCTAGCGTGTTTTATTTTTTTTATATTTGATACTATAATTTCAAAATCATGATTATAATTATATGTATATTATTTTAATGTACAAAATTGTGTTATCATAGTACTTACTACTTTGTTTATATGTTATTTACCTACTTTATGATGATATCTAATAATATAATTTAATATTTAATAAGAATGTTTGATTGACATTTAAAATACCTATAACAATGTAAATATGTTTATGTATAATGTAAAGGTAGTTTGTATTATTATGTAAATAATACATATGTGTGAATTAGTACTTTGAACATAATGTTAGTGGGTGTTTTTAATAATATAACTTCCTAACCTACCAAATACATTGGTATCATGACAAATATTATTTGAATATTTATTGTGAATTAAATATTGAAATATGTTAACATGTGTTTATCATTAAATTATCAGAAATACGTTGTAGTATTTGCGAAATTGTTGAAGTAGCTACCTATACGTATAAACGTGCGCACTGGGTTGTCTATAAAAATAGTTGGATTGGCTGTATTTTATAGTTGCTATACGGATAGCTATACGATTAGTCAGATTTGCTTGTAAATTGTTCGAATATATAATAATTTATATTTATATCGACTAATAACCATCATATCAATATCAAATTCATATATTTACAATTATAATCACGGCTATGGATACAATTATTTAAAATTATCAACATTATGGACACAGTCCACAGATATTTTTATAATATTATCTGTAGTTATGGTTGACTTGAGGAACTGCCGATTATAAGAATGATATTGTATTTATTGGATCGACAGCGGCTTCAAAAACAAAACAGTTATTCACAGATGCCTTATCACAATCAGTTAGATTTGGTAGAAAACAGCGACATTGATAAGGATTTGCAGATTCTATAGTCAGTCAATTATTTTATATTTATGAAATTATGTAATATATTACTATTTAGAATATATTCTTAGTAAAAAAGATTTTATTTAATTACCAATTGTCTTATAATAATAATCGTTAGAAAAATGTATTAGATCAATTTTTTTTTACTGCTTACATGGCAAACAGAACAAAATTATGTAACAAAAAGTAAGTTCTAACTCAGTGCTTGGAATGAACTCGTTCAAAGGAATCCCTTCCTTTGATTTCGTTCCATTTTTAGGAACTTATCGGGAACGTAGTTCCTTTTTCTTGTTTAGGAACGTACTGAAATATCGTTCACTTTTTAGAGGAACATGAACGATTTTTTTTGTTCCTTTCTTCGTTCATTTATTTTTAAATAAAAGTAATTAAATCATTTTTAAAACTAAAAGGAAAAAAATGTTTAGCTTCTATTAAAATTTAGTAACTAATATGAAGAGCTATAAAAATAAACCTGTATACGATATTATTGATAATGTTTACAAAATATAAATTCTGTATTTCTGTAGCAGAGGTTTATTTATACAGCTTATTAATTATATAAGTTAAAACTATTAATAAATGTCTAAATAACAATGTGTAATGTTTAAAATTTTAAAATTAAAACAATTATAATATAAACATGTACGATGTACCTATGTATTTTTATTTTATTTTAAGTCACATTAAAAAGGAACGAGGAAAGGAACTAATTCCTATCTTCAAGGCAGGAATGGTAAAGGATTTAGTTCCTTTTTTAAAGGAACTTTCTAAGCACTGTAACTCCATCTCATCCTGATGCAATATGTCTAAAATCTTTTTTCTGGGGGGGCTAGATAAATAAATAACATATAAAGGCGCGATGGTATACCGCACGACCCACAATAAGTTAATTTTATGTTTGTTTAGAAAAAAAAATTTTTTGAGCTTATGTGCTAAGCGTATACCCTAGAAAAAAATTACCAATACATCACTGTCAATACCTACATTTTTATTTGGTAATTTCAAATATTTTTTCCACAGCTACATCATTAACGGGCACATATGTTCTATATTTATGATTAATCGTACCTAATCTTATTTTATTTTTTTTAATATTATAAAAAAGCCTCGGCAGCGTAGCCATTGGCTGACATTTGATAATTGTTTACATAATATTAGTTATTACAATAATTTTTGTTTTTACATATTATTATACATTAGTTATTTACAAAAAATGTTCAATTTATATTTCTTTTATGAAACTTAGTATCTGTTTGATGGTTGACAAGTTAGTTTTATTTTTATAATCTTTGATTTTCAAAAAAAATCTCCTTCATAACACTTGTGTGAATGGCAAAATTAATATACATTTGTAAAGTATGAATAAGTTACAAAACAAATTTAATTAACTATCACCATTTGCATGAAATATTATTTTGTTTGTATTAATTTACTAATTCAATTCAAACAAATTAAATAAGAGACTCATCTAAAAAAATACTGGACGATGCCTCGAAGTCACTGCATAGGAAGAGAGATGTGAGTTTGTATTATACTATATACAGTACTATACAATTTATTATATTATACAAGGTATAAAATGATTTTAATACAGATTGTATATAAAAAAAAAAATATATTAGTCAATTTTATTAGAAAATTAATTTAATTTTTAAGAAATAATTCACTATGGATTGTAATTACATTACAATTAACAACAGTATAAATATTAACAATAATTTATTTTGCTATGTATATTTATGCACTTTATTTTTATGTCAGTGAAACAGTAACAGATTAAGAAATTATAATAAAATGTCAGAATTATTTTAACATGATTTTTCTATAAAGTAAATTATATTTATTTATACATGACTGCTAGTTCAGAATTCAGAATGACGTAGTCCATATCTACTCCCTCAATCCTAACTCAAATCAATAATGTCATTACAATTATTTTTATTCAATTAAGGACTTTTTAACTTAGGCCAATTTGAACCAGAAGTATAACTATCTTTTTAAAGATGGATATATTCTGTTAAGTGTAAGTCAAATTTACTAAACAACAACAAATGGTCCTGAAAGACATGAGTTATAAATAAATGTAATATTATTTTTCACTCATGAACAATTATGTGCTGCCCTCTAATGTTAACTTACGCTCCATCAGACCATATTCTGGCCGGGCGCACCTAGTATCAAATGTATGTAATCAATGTTTTTTTAATAACCAAAAAACTGTATGTGTAGTTCAGGGTTGCCATTTGACCTGTATTTCTCAGGACAGTCCAGTTTTCAACAAATCTGTTCCGTGTCCTGTCTTAATAACCAACGGGACGCAATATGTCCCGTATATGAGTTTTTCTAAAAATAATACACAAAAAATTAATTAATTATATTATCTTATATCAAATTTGTTTATAGGAACATAAATGTAATAAATATATAAATAAAAAACCAAAAGTATAATACTTTAAAAGTAACAGGCTTTGTTTATATTGTTAATATGTCACCTAAAATTATTTGCATACATAATAAAAAAGAGCCATATTTATATTATATTTTATTTCATTGGAATGTCAATAAAGTAAACTTAATGATACCAACAACAAAAATGTGAGTCCGGTATTTTGGTGTAGTTGATAGAAACATTATTAAGAAGTAGTTAAGTTGGTATATTTTTTATTTTAATTGTTAATTGTTATGTCAAGAACACTCACAATAGTGTTGCATAAATGTTGCTGATTAATTTATATTATAATTGCAATAAGAAGTGTATACCTACCATAATGTTAAGCAGTTTGTTCTAGTTAATTTGATCAAAATTTAATAATAGCTTTATTAGTGGAAGATGTAATTTGAAATGTTATACAAAAGTCAAAATGCTATGTAACTAACATATACCTTGATACTGTAGTCAATCATTGTAATTGTATTATTGTTAGATGTAACTTTTATAGGCAACAATAATAGTGAGCAGCTGGCCAGTTCCTGCACTCCACGGTACTGTGTTTTGTCTTATTATATTATCATTGTATTAGTTAGTTAAGCATACTCAGAGTGAGTTAAATTATTATTAGAATTATTTTATAATTAATTGTTGTCTGTTATTAATTGAAGTGAAGCACGATGAACCATCCATTTAATTATACTGTTAATTATCATATTATATTGTATATTTTGTTACCATATATTATTGTTATAATATTTGGTTGTAAAAGTTGTAATCTGTCTTACCCACCCCCTTGTTCACTGCAGGCAAACCCTCCGTTTGGAAGTAATGTTGTGTACAAACAGAGTTTCTTTTCATACAGTCCATTATTTTTTAGAAAGCTAGGTGTCGGGGATCCTCTCACATTACATGATAGCCCCCGGCCGTACAATTATATATAAAGTAAACAATTCAGATTAACCTATGCCAATAGTTAAGGTGTACAACTTATTAGTTTGTACCTAT